AGGTGCTTGCGCCACATAGCGGCCCTTGGCCGTTGATGGTTCTTGGAGTTGCTTAATTTGACACAAACCTTGATGGAGGTTTTGGGGTCTCTGGGTTCCATGATGACTTGATTTGGCGTTGAATCGTGTGCTGAACATCATTTTTTTCAAAAACACATCATGAACATGCATCAGCGTTCGATGTTAAATTCTTTTGGAAAAAGGTTGATAGAAAGAATTGGTCTTTTTTTATCGCTTGGACGATGCGTCTATGGAAAGAACCTCTTGTTTGAAAGAAAAGTGACAATCTAAGAAGCACTAAAGTCACCATTGGCTCTCCTCTTCTCTTCTCTCACTTCTCTTGTAGAGCTGTTCACAATTCGGAACGCGGAAAACTCATTACAAAGAGTTTGCTGCCTCAACGGCTTGCTCTTGTCATGACAGCCAAAGCATATCATGGCCTGATTATGGGTACACAAGAAAGACTGAGCGTCTGCCTACTCTCGGAGAGCGACAACCCCCATGGAGGGAGAGCTCAAAATCTTCACTATTAGCTGGCTTCGAAGCATTTTCTTGGGTCTTATTGGCCCGTGCAGCTTAGCTCTTACGCTAGCATTTCACGCAGAAGCAATGCAAAAGAGAGAGCGTCCAGTGCTAGAACAGTGCAAGTTGCAAGCTTATGTAGAACGTCACATGTTTTGTTTCATGTATGTGCTACAGGCTTGTGAATCTATACACGCGCATGCAGTGTCTGGCTCTAGCACTTGAGATCTCTCGAAAAGCCCCGTCTGCCCACAACCAGGTACTCGTGCTTTATATGGCATGGACTAGATGGTCATGCCTCACCCGACATATCCACTTGCCTACCTCGTGTCGAAAAACGTGGAATCCTCGGCTCGCAACGCCGATCCTGTTTCGCCTGCTTCTCAAAACCTAACCCCTTGGGTTACCTTTCCCTGTATGTGTTACGGGCTTGTGAATCTATACACATACAGTGTCTGGCTCTAGCATTTGAGATCTCTCGAAAAGCCCCGCCCACCCACCCACAACCGGGTACTTGCGCTCGCGTGCGCCTTGAGTGCTTATCGCATACCAGATGGTCATGCCTCATCCCGACATACCCACTTGCCTACCTCAGGTCGAAAACGTGGAATCCTCGGGCTCGATAGCCCAGCTCGCAAAGCCGAGCCTGTTTCGCCTACCTCGGACGACGTCCGCTGAAGTATGCCTACATTCGGTCAGACTCCTTAAAGCCCTAACCCCTTGGGTTACCCTTCCCTAACCCTCTGTCGCCTCGGTACCTTCGATCTGTCTATGCCCAGTCTAACAGCAGCTGACTTTCACTCTTAGTCCTGCCTGCCTCAGGCCGGACTTCCATAGTTGCGGGGCTTCGGCTCTGCCGGGCCAGCCTTTGTCGAAAGTGATTCGGGGGAATACCTTTCAAAATGGATTTTTTGATTCAGTTGATTTCACCAGGGAAATATACACAGTTATGCATACGTTTGAACATACAAGCGCACATGCAATATAAACGTACACAGACTAAAACAAATGCGGCGGGTAAGCGCAGACACAATGAGATGCAGGCCCGCGTGGAGCTCCTTTGATACATGTAAACTTCAAAATCGGACCATTTACACGACCACCTGTAAGACGAATGAAGCAACGGGGCCGACCATGAACTCGCCGCCACATGCAATCAGTGCAACTTCACAAATGCACCCACGAGGAAAGCGGATCGGATTTTTTTCTCATGTTCTTTCCCATGACATCAGGATGCAGTGCATTTTCGCATCATGATTCGTTGTTTGGTTCACAGGGAGCGCAACCGAACATGCAGAACACTGTGAACAACAAACGGAAGATCAAGAAGCTTTAGCGCCAGGTCTATGAAGCAGTTCATGAGGACATGGCCCCAACAACCAGTAACTTTGAGCCGAGTCGTCGTCAGGGTTGTAAGTTTCGAACTGATGGAATCTGGCACAGCCAGCCACGCATGTACAGTACAGCGGTTGCTCCTTTGTGCCGAGGCTCTGGCTGGGTTAAGCGTGCTTTCACAAGCATCATGTTGCACTGCGGTGATGTTGACTGGATGGTTTCGAGATTGCAAGTTTACAGTTTTGTCGCAAATGAGAACAGGCAAGCTTCATTGTTATCTTGCTGTCCCTGCTGGTCAATGTGGGCGCTTTGGTGGGATACACTTCGCAGGCTGGGATTGCTAGGTTGAAAAGCAGTTGTTGGAGCATCCAGAAGTTTGGACATGAGCTTGGCTAGACTGACAAAGATATGTTGCAGATGTTAGATGTTGGAAGGCCAGCTGGTGCCGATTGGACTTAGCAAAACGGTCAACCAGAGTCAACCAGTGCATGGTGCACGTACTGGTGTGCTGTTCATGTTCTGGAGTCTCCATTCTGAGAGCATGTTACAACTTACAACCCGTCGTGCAAGCTTTGCATTTGGGGCTTTTTTGCATCCGAGGAAGATCCCGATGACTACTGTTAGTAAGTCAGGCTTTCGTAGACCTCTGATTGCCACATCATGACAGCCGCATTGTAGGGTTGCTGTTCATGACATTACAGGACATTGCCCGCAGTGGTATCCTTCCCGCCGAGCAGGACGTGCAGCAGTTTCTCATTCCCTGCAGAGTTTGCATCGAAAAGCAGCCTTCAAAGCAGGTCGTGTGGAATTTTCAGAAGGCGATGCGCTGTGTCCTCGTGGTTCTTTGCTTTCGCGCCGGGTTCCTTCACCGTCAAAAACTTTTCGACGGTGACGCCCATAAGTGGCCTAATCTGGTTGCTGAGCTGCAATTGGCCTTCCTGGTCGTTTATAAGCTCGGTGCACTTCTGCTGCTGTCAAGACAATTTCGTTTTCGACTGCAGAGTTGCTGTATGCTCTCTCAGGTTTTTACCCGATTAAGTCAAGAACTGTGGCTCCTTCCATCAGACGAGGCGTAGATTTCTAGCATCACATGTGATTTTAGCTCGGTGAACATGACACTGTCAAAGCAGGAAGTCCGCAGCTTCAGAGCGGCCAATTTTGTGCAGGATAGCGGCGTTGTATACCGCCGATACATTTGCTTGGCGCTTGTTGTACTTGGTCGAGCTGTGCTTGGCACGGTCTGGCAGCCACGCTTCTTTCTTCCTCCGCTTGCAGATGCTGGCAGGGCACTGCTGCAGATACGCACGCCAGGTCCGAAGTGCCATCAAGTTCCATTCCCACATGACCAGTGAAGAGAAGGTTGACGACAAGTCCGTGGACAGCCAGATATGTTCTGGGCAGTTCATCAACTGGCGACTTGACTAAACCAGCTTTCTGCAGCCCGGGATGAGGGGAATCAGCAGATGACAGGACAATCTTCTTGCTGGATATCACCACAAACTGTGGGTTTTTGCTCGGGTTCCGAGCCGGGCGTCACTACTTTGCTGCTGCGAAGCAGGCTCAACTTCTGGCTCTTGGTTGCTCGTCACTGTGGGTGTGAGATGGTGAGCCAGGCATTCCCTGAAGAGTCGGACAGCGCTCCAGAGCTGACGAGCAACGGCGAGGATCGGCAACATGTCAGTAAAACAAGTGAGAAAGCCGTCTCGACAACTGCAAATCTTTGCTCATGTTGTGAACGCAGAGCGTGCCTTCTTACGTTCGTTGAAGCGTTAACCCTGTCGGCACGCTTTTGTGCTCCAGGACAGTTCCGAATCAAGACATCAATCCCATGGTCTGAGCCCCGGAACTGCACGTGAATCCTTATGTCGTGGTGCCGCGCAGTTTGTAGTTGCTTTTCGCTATCTTGTTCTGCGGCCAACTTCAGTTGAAAGATGTCGTTTTGTCGTGTCTGGAGGGTGCGGGGATGAGGCCTAGCTCCAAGTAGTGATTCCAGCGGGGGGTCTGTGAGGGTTGTTCTGAGAGGGGCTTTGAGGGACAGCACAGGCTGATCTGAACAGGACGGGGATGTCTCGTTTGTCGTCCCTCAAATTCAAGCTGTGTACCCAGTGCGTCAACGAAATTTGGCATACGGAGCAAGAAGACCTCTGCAGGCTTTCAGCACACATGTGTGTGTGCTCGCCGCAATAACTGGTCGCCTTTGTAATCAGTCACCTTCGGTGGGTGCAACCTTCATTTAAGTAACATACATGTGTGTGCAAATTGGTCGACAAACCCTTGACACACATGTGTGTGCTCACAGCACAAAAATCATCGCTCCGACCTTTCTAATCCTTCATTCTTCGGTGCAACCCCCAGTCGCAACACACATGTGTGTACTCACAACAAAAATTGCTCGGCCAACTTTTTGACCCACAACTCGCATGTCGATCCGACATTGCCCAATGCAACGAGATGCGCATCAGGTGAGGAAGAGCCAGACGTACCCGGAAGGAGAAGGCCGTTCGGGGCGCAAGTGGGCAACTTCCAGCATCTTCCAGCCACCACCATCGGGGTACATGCAAGAGACTCGGCACAGAAGTGCCTCCCTTCGTGTCTGCAGGCTTCCGGCAGTGCCTGCACTTCGCCGACCCTCGGCTGTACAGCGACGAGTTCGGAGTCGGGCGGCAGGGGCCTTGGGGGAGCGCAGTCCCTCGCTTTACTAGAGCAGCGGCTGTGTGAGACATTAGACGGAACGTCTCTTCGGTGCGTCTTTGGAGCAGTCGGAGGGAGTCTCAGGGATCTAAGCTGCACGTTGGCCTTGGTGCAACCCCGGAACATGTTGGCAAAAAGTCACAGGCCGGGGCAGGGTGAATGCCAGCCACAAGCTCTCTGAGGTTGGCACGGGGGATGATCCCAACGACAATCTGGAAGATGAGGCTTTGGCCATTGATGCACTCTCATGCGGATCGAATTGGCACTGCATCAGGTCTTGTGTGACTCAGTCCGACAGCATGGGCTTACTAACGGATTGCAATTCTTGAGATTGACATCTTCCATGTTTTGACGTGATTGCCCGATGCAATGTGAAATGGAATGAAGGCACTTTGAGATATTCCTTGTTCGAACCTAATGGAAGTCGAAGCCTTCGGAGGGTTGGCAGTGTTGGATTCAGCCCTTGTGTTTCAATGTAGAACTCGGAACTGCTCGGACCGACGCATGCACAAGATTTTGGAGATCCAGGTTCTCCCTGGTTTCTGGGCGTGATTGTTGGCAGCGTTGTGCATAGCTTAAGACCAAGTCAGGATGCACAGCTGTCACCAAAGAAGTGCCAGCTGCCTCCAAAGGAGATTTGTCACCTGGCCAGCAGTCAGTGTGTGTTAGGGCTTTTTTTGACTCTACAGTCTGGCGCATGCAAGGTCCACAGCACAGCATACTATGTGTTGCGTCTTAGGCCTGCAAGCCATGTGCAAGGGTGAGCAGGCCAGGCACAGGGTTCATGCGCTTTCACGGTGATTTGTCGGGTGTCTTTCCAATTCCATATAATCGTAAAGCAACACTTCTCCAGACTGGAAGCGAGTAAGTTTGAGCCGCTTCTCGTGGGGCCAATGCATGTGCATTGAAGCCGTGTCACTTCGATGTGAGAGGAAGCCGGCGTTTTAACATGGCCCTGTGATGCACAGCTGAGCAGGTTGATCACGGCCCAATTTTCTCTTGCTACGCATGGTGGACCCTGCTGGGTCTTCTTGTTGCCTGGACCCCAGCATTGGAAAAAGATTGCGCTGCGACTTGGGTATTGTGTTTCCGGCGCTCTGTCTTCGATTTCAAGTCCGCTGCCCTGGTCAGACGTCAGCCATCGAATGTTTGCTCCTGTCCTACTGGGAGGCAGGGCTGCAAGAGACATGAACTGTGCACTTGTGCCACGTGCAACATGTCTAGAACGGAACATGCGCCTGGATGGAGGGATAGCCTTCATGGCGCTTCCGCAAACATTGCACCAAGAAGACTCCTATACCCACGAACGTAGCGAGCAACACTATGAGAAGAGGTTGGGGACGCCAGGCATTGTGCCACGAAAGTCGGGGCCTTTTTGTTTGCAGTCAGACGGGTTCTTTTTCCAAAGCTTGTGTGCACCAAGACATTGTTGCTGAATAGAGACACTCCACATGTGCCATCAAACCACGGCATAAAGGAGCCAACTGCTTCGTCATGAGCGACCGCATGCTGAGTAGCCATCTATGTATTTAAGCGAGCGAACGAGTGACTGAGTGAGTAAGCATGTAGTTAATCCAGCAAGCAAGTAAGTAAGTAAGCAAGCAAATAAGTAAGTAGGTAAGAAGGTAGTAGGGTAAGAAAGAAAGAACGGCAGTCAGAACTGAAAGCGCAAGCGGCAATGCATGAGTCTGCGAGCCGAAGCCTGCTGTGTGGTGGTTCTTTCAGCCTCTTTCTGATCCAAGATCTGCAAGATATGAGCCGTATTCGCAGAGCAAGCAGCATGTCACCGCTTCACAACGGAGATCTCGTCCACTTGCATCCTCTGTCTGCAGACGGATATCAACTCCCGCATGTCACAGCAAAGGATCAGACCACATATCACAGGGCTCCCGCGTTCGTGCATGGAATCGAATCTTTTGCACAGGCTGCCTTGCTGGGAAATCGGGACGACGAGGCACACTGTTCCCGTTATGTAGGGTCAGTGTATTTCAGAGCAAACGAAGCTGAACTGGAAAGAGATCACCTGCTGAAACAGGTAGATGTGTTTCGAATGCGGCCGCTGGCTCATTGGACAATCACGATGCTCAGTAACCGTTGTGCGATAGATTTGGATCTCGGCGCTTCCTAGATTGTGGCAAAAGTCGAAAAGATTTGAGAGGACATCGATCAGTCTGAGGCCCTACTTCTTCTCCTGGACACCAGACTTTGGAAGATGGCGGCTGCGCCGTGTAGTTCTCGGCAGCTGGCGCGACCTCTTCTACTTTGCGCTCGGATGCCCAGGCGGTCTGTAAGCTGAGATGTGATGTCGAGGAGCAGCGAGTAGAGAAGGACACCCGAAATAGGCAATGGCAGACGTCCCATCTGCTTCCCTTGGCCAATGATTTCCGCTTGTTGCCTTCAGTGACATTGCCGGTTGGAAGCCGAAGCTGACTTTCTCGAAAATGCCAAGGATCCTTTATCCTGCAACGGCCAGTGCCGGGACCCTGTCGAGATACGCAGGTGCCAAGGCACCAGGTCCGAGTCACATGTCGCTGCTAGCACCAACTGGCAATGATCTGACTGAGGCCGTTTTCGTTGCAGCTGTGCTGGCTCATCACTTTGCCTGGGGCAGGCACCAGCTCTGTTCTATTCTGGCCATTGTGGCCAGCCCACAGGATCAATCTTCTTTGCAAGGCTACGTCTCGTGGACGGCATCATGCACAGAGCAGTGATGACAATCATGCAACTGCCCTGGTTATTCGACGGAGATGGCTAACTTCATCTTCATGCATGGAAGTCAGGCTCGGAGGCTTCATCTCAGATGATTCTGCCGCAGATCCAGGTCTTACGCCACCCTCTTGGGATCACAGCGTGCATACTTTGCCAGATGCCCGGGGGTGTTTATGCTTGAAAGTTGTTCAGAGATCTCACCACACCAAAGTGGACTTAACGGACAACCATTGCAGGGTCCGACAGATTCCGTTGACCAGAAGCTTGCCATTAGCGAACCTTCTTGACTTCCCTGGCTTGCCTTCCAAGGTTTCAGGTTTCCAGCAGTTTTTGAGAGTTTGGGACCGTTGTTTGCTTGTGCCGTGGTTGTGATTGTCTCGAACCGTCTCAGGCCATGAGCTGCTTGCTCATCAGCATGCCTGGCTTGTTTGTTGCATGCGCTTACTCCGAGTTCCTCGTCCGTGTTGCATGATGCACATTCCTTTGGCCTTCAGCCTCGCGCGCGCGCGCGTGTGTGTTTGTGTGTGTTCTTACCAGGGGGTGCCAGGGGATTGCAGAAGGCTGGCACCAACGAAGACCTTTCTGCTTTCCTGTGATATCGATTTGGGGCGCCAAGTCGAAGTACCTGCCAGTGTTTGCTTCTCTGGAATGGCCACCAGGCAAAGCCGAAAACCTGGCAAGCCGAGGGTTTGAGTCGTTATTGCAATTGGCACTGTCAGGTTTCAGGATACCAAGGTAGATTGTACCGAAAGAGCCGTACTCCGTCGGGACAGGCTAATGGAGCGTACAGCACCAGATGGTGGCCAGTTTCCCAGGTGATAAGCCTTTCCCGCTCCTATGGGGCCACCGGAACAATGGTGCCCCGATTGGTCAGGTGATGGGCATTCCCGACCAAAAGGTCTTATGGTGTCTCTCGAGTCTCATGGTGCTCAGTGGGGAGCTTGAGATATGAGCGTTGATCAGTGTCCGCTCATGGCTGGTAGCATCTCGGCTTCGTGCTGCATTTGTTTGTTTTGGAGGTTGCATTCATGGAGCCTGCGTCTGACTCGGAAGGTGTGGACATCTCGCAGTACCCTGTCAGGGATGAGGTCTTTTCAGTCTGTCAGCCGAGCTATGGCCATCTTTTCTCGCTCTCTCTCCCCTCTTTTCTCTTTCCTGTCGTCTGTCAGCCGAGCTATCGTTTTCTTTCTCGCTCGCTCTCCTCCTCTCCTTGACGACGACAACGACTGCGACGACCGACCATACTAAGGATTCAGGTCCGAGTCTGGATGACAATTTCATTGTGCCACGAAGCTGCAGGTTTTTTCCCCTGCACACAGGGTGTGTGTGTGTGTACACCCTGATTCTAAACTAAGGGATTTGGTGAGGACCTGTTGACTGCTCATACTTTCAGAAGCAGGGGGTGCCAGGGAATTGCAGAAGGCTGGCACCAACGAAGACCTTTCTGCTTTCCTGTGATATCGATTTGGGGCGCCAAGTCGACGCACCTGCCAGTGTTTGCTTCTCTGGAATGGCCACCAGGCAAAGCCGAAAACCTGGCAAGCCGAGGGTTTGAGTCGTTATTGCAATTGGCACTGTCAGGTTTCAGGATACCAAGGTAGATTCAACCTCAACCCCTACAAGATCATCTTCCTTTCCCTCAAGATCTTCCCCAGAATACAATGGATTATCGTCAACTGTTCGTTGACCTTGCAAATCCGTATGTGTGTGTGTGTGTGAACGGTCCTCGTTCATGGGCTTTGGGAGGTCGCTCTCTATCAATTTCATCTCTGCAGGGGGACGGAGGGGGTGGAAGGGAGCTCCGTCCAACGAAGCTCT